AAGGAATGCGTTGTGGAAAGAGGACAACAGCCTCTGATGCCCCACACCATTGCGGAAAGAGGGGGCTCGCCTTGTAAATGCAGACTATCCTTCCAAACCATAGAAGGAAAAGAATGATCTTATACTACACTGAGGCATTGAAATTGAGTTGCCGCTACTTTCTACTTAAAGTAGGAGAAAAACAAATCATGGTTGATTTGTTGGGCTAAAAATCTTTATTGTAAGACACAGGGCAGGCCAGATACAAACTGTAATGAATTGTTTTGTTGATCTACTTTTTACCAAGTTTTTCTTTTAGGGGCATTAGATCTGGTCATCAGTTCAATCTCCTCCCTTGGCTTGTTAGGATAAATACAACAGGAATCCACAATTGGTAATTTCTTCTTCAGGTCATGTTACCTTGAAGAAGATCTTACTGTTTAATTTAATTGACAAGAATGGATGTTTTGCTGATAATGCAATTTTCTACTCTTTTAGTTCTGATAGATTTTAGTGTCCAATGATTCTTAACCTTGGTTGTGGAACTATTATATTTTAATGCTTTTAAATCTCTTTTGACCAGGGGCATAAAATTTCCTCTCTCTCTCTCTCTCTCCCCACCTTCTCTAAGAATAGTTTTTCTTCTGGGGCTTGATAAATGCTTATTTTAGTTTCCTTCTTTTTTACCTGCAGAGTATCTCGGCTGAACAAGCAAAAAGATTTACAAAATACAGGGAGAGGAAAGGCCTTATAGATAAAGATGTGGTAAGAATGCAGTATCGTTGAGCTATGGAGCTTTCACATGTTTTTATCCTGTTCAATAAATTGTGAGCATGCAAGTTTAAATGAGTGTTTTTCTGTGTGAAGGTGAGGACTGATCGATCTCTTGCTTTTTACGATGGTGATGATAATCCAAATGTGAATACTTTACGTGATATTCTGTTGACATACTCCTTCTACAACTTTGATCTTGGTTACTGTCAGGTAATTGTTTTTTGATTTGTGTGAAACTGAATGAGCAAAAGCAAAGTCTTCTAATTTGTTAGTTCATCTTTTTCTAAATGCTTTTGGGTTTCTATTTCTTGTTCATCTTTGATAGAGAAAGAAGTGTGTTGTAAACAAAATGCCAAGGGAGTGCCATCAATACACACAGATGGGGGAACTGCAGGAGCTAACTATTCTCAATTCAACATGTCTAAAAGGTCTTAAAGATATTTTTTTTGTTCCAATATGATGACAATTAACCCAGAAAGGGAGATTTCTTAACAAAGATCCTTGAACTGTTGGACCTCACTTTCAAAGTTTCTTAGGCTTCTATCTCTCCAAAATGTCCTCAAAATCAAAAGTGGGATGAGGGCTAAAATTTTCTTTCTGTTTAATTCCTGTCATTTCCTGCCATGCCCATATCTCCTCCTGAGTGGAATCAGCCACTGCCCAGCTTTGTCCAAGAAATTTTAAGAATAACTCTCTAGTCCAGCTACCCCAAAGAAGTGAATGGTATGGAGATTCTGCTCCTCTTGCTTCCAACTGGAAAAGGAAACTCTATAGGGAACAGTACCTTTCCAAATGGCTTTGCAATGGAAGTTATTTGCCAGCAGTTGTGAAGTTTATCAGGAATTCCTCACAGAGGTTTCTAACCTTGAATATCCTCATCTTAAAGCCACTCCAAACATGGGGTTTCTATTTCTCTATCTTGCTCATGTTCAGATGGCACAAATTATAGCAAAAATGCTCTTTTTGGTATACAAGGAAAGTGGTTCAAACTGCCTCATTACAACAAGTGAATCCTCCTTTCCAGTTTGTTCATATCTGATATTTATTGACAGCATCAATTCTTGCCTAATGACCCTATCTAATTCCATTTTATCTTAGCAGTAGTGATAATTTTGTACTTTTGGCAATCGTACACATCCTAAACCTGTTCTCTATTCTCTTTGTATGTGGGAAGCAGCCCCTTGGCATCATGTGCATAGCACTTCTTTTTCTATTAAAAAAATAATAACTTATGGTGATTGTAGTGCTACAATTGTTGTGATGTGTTCATATCATGCTATTTTTATTCCAAAAGGAAGTGTTGTGATGTGAATGTACTAGAAAGATATCTATATAAGGCTGTCTGTCTGGCTAGTCTTGTGCTGGAGGTAAGCCATAAGTGCAGGCATCACCTATCTGCTTCCATCTTTAGTGTGAATATAACAGTTGTACTCTTTTTCTTCGCCATAAAATGTAAGTTTTATTTATTTTTTACTTTTCCTGTTTGCTTTTAGGGCATGAGTGATTTGCTATCACCAATTTTGTTCGTAATGGAGGATGAATCAGAATCATTTTGGTGCTTTGTAAAACTGATGGAACGACTTGGACCCAACTTTAACCGTGACCAAAATGGCATGCACACTCAACTTTTTGCAGTATCTAAGGTCTCTTCTCTCAGATTGTCTGTATAGCATCCTTATTTATAAAACCGAGATTTTAAACAGTGTTTATGCATTTGCCTCAATACTTTGGTCATATTGAGCTTCCTCTGCTTCTCTTCATTGCTTTTGTTTTGCAATAGTTAGAGTTAAGTGTGCGAATGTGTCCAACACTTCTTTTAAATTAATGGTAATTTCAATGTGCATTCCTGGAAGAATCTTCCCTCATACAATATTTTCCCTTCTTATTGAGTTTATGACCACCCAATCATTTATTATCCTGACTCAGGCAAAGGGGGTTTTGTGCTCTTGCGAGTAGGATGTTTTAACTCTTCAGCTTATTGTTGATTACAGGTTTTGATTTTTAAGTTCTCATTCTCTTTGATTTTGGCAGCTGGTGGAGTTGCTAGATATCCCTCTGCATAACTATTTCAAGCAGAATGATTGCTTGAATTATTTCTTCTGTTTCCGTTGGATTCTAATACAGTTTAAAAGGTTAGACGATTTACTGGTTTTCTTTATCTATCATTTCCATTCTCCTTACATGGGTGTACATGGTCCTCATGTCGTGCGCATGCTTCTTTTTCACTATTAAAGCTTATATAACTCCTCACGAATGGTTGATATGACTATTAGAACTAAACTCTACCTCAACTTACCCTATCATCATGTTTTCTTTGAGATGTAGAGGGGAGGAGTGAAGACATTAGGCTGTTTTGCTCTGTGAAACTTTTTTTAATTTTCATTTCTTGAGTTAACGTACTTATGTCCATTCGTGCAAGTAAGTGCATGTTTATGGAATAATTTAATTACAAATAAGATTAATTTGTTTAGAAAATACTGAGAACAACACTTCAAAATTTTCGAACTCGATTGTCATTTCTACTATCATTTTCTTCGTTACTAACTAATATGCCTTTGTGAATAAAGTGCAAATAAATTTAGAAAGTGAAAATTAGAAAACATTTTCATTTATTAAATGGACTCTTGTTCATCTCACCGAAGATATTGAGAATTTAAAGAATAAAAAGAAACCAGTTCTACAAAGACCCTTTCCTGATGCAGAATGGAGATTTGACAGCGTTTAATGTTAGGTGAAAAATTTGCTGCCAGTCTTGCTTCTCCTTTTCTTGGGATAGTTAGTAACTAGAATCAAGAGTTCTACTTGGATATCATACTAGATACGCTTGATGTGAGAGAATATGATGAATTCAGGCCTACGTATTGTCATAATCTGTAATTTCAGTTTTAATTTATTTCAACCAATAGGTGCATACAGAAATTTTGCAATATAATCCTGCCTGCCTGATTTTTCGGTTCCGTTTCTGATTTGGCTATCAAATTGTAACAGGGAATTTGAATATGGTAAAACAATGTTACTCTGGGAAGTATTATGGACTCATTATTTGTCTGAACATCTGCACTTGTACGTATGTGTTGCAATCTTGAAGCGCTACCGCGGCATGATAATGGGAGAGCAGATGGACTTTGACACACTTTTGAAGTTCATTAATGAGCTGAGTGGGCATATTGACCTCGACGCGACTCTCAGAGATGCCGAGGCTTTGTGCATATGTGCAGGCGAGAATGGTTCAGCTTGCATCCCTCCGGGTACTCCGCCTTCGTTGCCTATTGATAATGGTTCTTTATATCCTCAACAAGATGAAGTCTTGTAAATTATAAGCCGGAACCGGATAAATAATCAGCTTTGTATTTCTATATTTTGTACTGTCAACAGATCTCTTACCATTTGTGCGATTATTAGATTTTTTTTTTTTTTTTTTTACAAGTGATGATCTGTTTTCTTCAATCAAAACTAGTAACTCTCTCTTATAATTATAGATTGGCCGCCATGCCGTTTGGGGTTGTGCGTGTATTTCTTTCTACAGCCGTGTCGAGCAGACTAGATCAGGATGGTAGTAAGTAGGGTTTTGTTTATTTGATAATTATAAGTAATTTTTTATGTTCGGATCAAATTCAGAATTTATAGTGTGTAAAATATTATTTAGTTAAAATAAGAAGATGATGAAAAGTCTTTTGTAATGATGAGAGAGTTTTTGAACTTATTAAATTTTGTATGGATTTAAAAAAAGTATGGGTTTTAAATATTATTAAGTTTAATAAACCATTTTGTGTTTTGCATTCTAGATACGAGTGTGTGTTTCCAAACAGTCTTAATTTCTAGTAGGTATATTATTCATAATTAAAATAATTTACAAAGTAATTTGCGGGATATTCGACGGTTTTAAATAACAAAGCACATTTTCTAAGTTAAAAAAGGGAAGAAAAAAGTAACGGAGCTTTTACTCACGTTAGACTACAAACGACCCACCCCTCGTGTTTTCCTCCTCCCTTTTCCACGTGTACCGGATGACGTTTCAAAAAGGGTTAAATTTATGGAATTCTATTTTCAGTAGATTGCATGTGGAATAATTATACGTGTCTAATTATTTCTGGAACAGGCGATTTTTTTGTTTTTAATTTGTTGCGAATGCTGTAGCTTTAAAAAAGACGTTATTGCGTGTTGTACATGTCAAAGTTATGCATCATCAGAAACGTCATATATAGCGGAATTAAATTAATAAAATTTTTAAATAATTGACATAATTTTTATATATTACTCTTGAATTATATTCTTATACAACTTCTTTAAGAAGAATAATAAATGGCTTTTTTTTTTTTTGTTTTGTTTTTTTTTATAAATTATATAATTGAGTGGGACATACGTGGAATGTAGCTCATAATTATTTTGCATTTTGAAATCGAACTGGCTTCCATTCCATCACCACCACATGCTTTCCGCCTCTCTCTCTCTCTCTCTCTCTCGCGCCCATCAATGTCACTGTTGATGTCCATCGTGCCGCTCCATTTTCGTGGAACCACCATGAATTCTTGTGAAAGTTAATTTAAACCAAAAAAAAAAACTGACAGATTATATATCCTGAATCTTTAAAAAAAAAAGAAGTATTATGTACTACACCTATATAGTTGTGTGTGTATAAACACGTATATGTATACTAGCTCATGTATTCTCTTTCCACCTTTTTCTTGTATTGGTTTGTCGTGATCTGGGATTTGATAAATATTGAAACCAGAAGATTAATGAGCTTTATATGCAGTGGGTTACAAAACCTGACTGATCATTTACATAACAGCACTCTTTTTATGGAAGAACGAAAAGGGGGGAGGGGCGGAGGGAGGGGGGAACAGAAAGACCGCACTGAGATTATCACAATTACCATCTGCTACTTCATTCTAATTCCCACTCGAACAAAAATCAAAATCGATACTAACATAATACGAAGCAAAACCTTCTGGCCTCCAATATAATGAAACTGTGCATGCAGGCACTACAAATTATTAATTTTTTTTTTTTAATAAAAAAAAAAGGACCCTCTTATAAGATGCTACTGTTTCTGAGAGTTCGATCCACGGCCATGGCAGGCACAACTGACGGCATATTTCTCCTCGATCACGGTTAAAACAAAAGAAAAGAATCAAAGAAGGAAAAGGAGGGTTCATGATCGTCGTCGTCGTCGTCGTCATCATGATCATCATCAATGTAATACGAGGGGAGCACAAGTGGGGATTCAATGGGCTGATCATCGTCGAAAACTAAGCTGGCATTGTTGGGAAGATCCAGAACTGAGGATTCTATGACGTCGTAGTTGAAGCTTCTGATGTCTTCCATCCATGTGCTTGTGACAATGCTCTCACCTTCATAATTTGCTACTTCCATATTAGTGTTATTATTATCATCGTCGTTGTTGTTGTTGTTGTTGTTGTCATTCTCCTCCGGAAGTACTTGAGCAGTAGTAGCAGCAGAAGTGTTTTGTTGATAATTTGAATTGATAAGGTGGTTGGTTTGTTTCTTGTGCTTCATCTTGTTCGTCTTGCAGTTGTCATGGTTGGTGGTTTTTCTTTTGCCCAATTGGCATTTCTTGTTCAAATGCGTATTCCAGTAGTTTTTCACTTCGTTATCAGTTCGACCCGGAAGCCGACCCGCAATCAGTGACCACCTAAACCAACATTCAAATTAAGACCTCTCATCGCACCACTCTATTTAATTAGAAAACCCAACACACACACACACACATATATATATATATATGTATGTATGTATGTATGTATGTAAGTACGTATTTATGTATGTGTATGCATGTATGTACTGACCGGTTGCCAAGAAGCTTATGCATTCGGATGATGAGATCTTCTTCTTCCTCAGACATGCCTCCACGTTTCAAGTTGGGCCTCAGATAATTCTTCCATCTTAATCTGCAGCTCTTCCCTCCTCTCATCAAACCTGCAAGAATCAAACAATTAGATCGGCATATAAAGTTTAGAGAATAATTAAGAAAAGACGGATCAAGATAATTAACCTATATAAACATTCATGTATTCTTGTCTGGAAAGCCAAAGAACATTCTTGTTCAAGCACATATTATTTATAGAGGAATATTATGGACTTGAGATGATCATATGCATACATAGATACCCGTCTATGAGTTTATAATTAACATGGCAATTAAAGTAAACAGGAGTGATTGAGATGTTGAGACATATGTATGTAATAGGTACCTGATTTCTCAGAGACATCTGCCCAGTTCCCTTCGCCATGAGTCTCGACATAATTCTTCAAAATCAAGTCCTCCTCCGGCTTCCACAAACCTCTCTTGACCTGCTGTGGCTTCTTTTCTTTGTTTTCCATTTCTATCTCTTTCTCTGTCTCAGGCTGTGTACCTCAAGTTAATATATATATATATATATGTGTGTGTGTGTGTGTGTAGTGTATTGATTATTTTGTTGGAGAAAAGATAAAAAGATGAGGCATGAGTGAAATGCTTATATAGGAATTTTGAGAGTTGTCATGTCTGACCAGCAACTTGTGCTAGTTATAACAACATTCGGTCATGAACAAACACGTTCTAAGACGCACCGTTTCACAGTCACACAAAGGGTAAAAAGGAGTGACGTGGGGACGCCTATTCGCTTTTTCTTGACATGAAAGCATGCAGAATCGCAGTTCCCACTTTCACTTTCTGGGTAGATTCATGAGAGAGATGATCGGATCAGCTTTGTTAAAAGTCCTGTATAAAACTATATG